ATTTCAAACTTTGCTTTATTTATCCCGGTACTCGACCTCAACAATTTTTTTTTTTCCCATGAAAACCATTGAAAGTTTGGTGTGCGGCCAATGCGCGGGTGCGGCCTATCTGCGGGTAAATATGGTAGTAGTCCAGCAGTGTATAATCATCAGAGAAACTCACCGTGAATCGACGCAAGGTCCCCGCATGCATTGCACCCCCAAAATGAGCAAACTCCTATAAGCAGTAGTGTCGAAGTCCTCTTAGTAATTTAGTACTTAAGAATACCACCTGGGATCGATTCAGTATTTCTCTGATGACATTTTTTCTCACCTCTTATTACCAACGGACCAGCAATAAATTTAAGAGGAGTTTCATTTCCTGACGACTCGACCGAACTTTTCTATTTACACGCCATTGCCAGTGGTTTCTAAGTAAAGTATTACGAACATAGTACATTAAGAATGGAATGACTAATTACAAAATTGGAAATAACATAGGAAATACTAATAACATAAGTAATACAAGTACAAGACACTAGACGAAAGGGCGATTTACCCGACGATTTTAGAATACGACTGGCATAAGAACCTTACCTGCGATTGCATTTCAACTTGAGCTCACACCTTGTATTTGCATGATCCGCGCGAAAGTCAAACTTGTATGGATAGCCGCGCGGACTGGGGCTAAGAGGGAGATCGGTTTCTACATCTATCTTCTCTTCCTGTTAATATTAATCTCGATAATAAATAAATAAGTAATAAACGGGATGCAGTAGTGGACACTCCACGGGGTGGCTCTTCTTGTCTACTGTTTCTAGCTCGAATTGAAATTTGAAATGTTGATCTTTGTAGAGAAAGGGAAAGCGGAGGACCTGGGGAGAAACCCTTGAACCAACAACAAACTCAATCCATCTGGTCCAGAAATCGAACTCAGGCCACGATGTTAGGGGGACGAGCTTTATCACCACTGTGCCATTCCTGATCCCTTAAATTAGGATTAAGAGAGGAAGCGCGAAAACACATCATCGTCCTAAATATCTCTCACCAACTATTTGAAAAAGCCTAAAATCCTCACTTTTCGAAGATGTGCTGACCACTATGTCTTTTTTATTCAGACTACGTCGTGAAGTACCGCGCTTAAAATATACCTTAGTAATCTCTACCATCGGGAAAGGACAGGGGCTTTAAACCCCACCCAGGGAGGAATCCTTTCCTCTAACAAGCACGACTTTGTTGGCGGTCAGCATTCCTGTACTGTTCAAAATCAGAAAACAAAACAAGTTTTGTGTTTGGTTACAGATAACCTGGAATGTTTTTACGGAGCTTCGGCACGATTAAAAAAAAAAAATTAAACTTGAATCAGATGTTTTCATTAGATATCTACATCCTGAAAGATATGAAGCGTTCCGCACTTCAGGTGTCACTTGAAGTGCATCTGTTGTTTTGAATGCCCCCTTGCAGATCTGCCCAGACTTTCGTCGTTTACTGGATTTTCTCGCTTCATTTGTAAGTTCTAAGTCTTCAGTTGTAAATTGCAACACAGCAAGTACATTTAAGAGTAGAACTAACAGTTTCTACGAATTTTAATCTCAGCGCAATTGGCCTTGTTGAGAGAATGATGAATTCCGCGAGCATTTCGATGAAAACCCGAGGTTTCAGTTTTAAGTGGCTTGTCATCGCTGCCGCTTTGCTCCTTAGTACTTGGTGCAGTCGATGTACATTGGGGGCACCACTTCCATTGGCTGACTCGAGTAAACCCTCCAAAGAAGTCGTTGATTCAGTCACATACGAAACAGCTCTGGTAAGATAATATTAGGATATTTTTAAGAAACCACAACGGCGACGCCAACGAGGACGTGGTAAAACAAAAGATTTAATGGGGAGAAAAATAGCTCAGCACGTGCGTTTTAAAACTTTTTACATTTCTTAGCCGTCCTTTGCAAAACAGCAATGTGAAATCGTCAAAATTTGCGTAGTCTGGGGACAGATGGGCAGACGGCAGATTATGTAATTTTCCATTTGGAACCCTAAGCTGTTCAGATACGTTTACTGAAGTTGAGGTGTGGCACCGTTACAGACAGTAACCTCATCCAGCCATTCGCGAAATTTATTTTCAAATTGACGTCTTCCTCGGCGTTTTCGTTCTGATTGTCTAAGGTCTCATATGTTGTGAAGTTCACTCCAGTTTATTTAGCGTTATTTAAAAGACTAAATTTTTGAGCCATTAGCAGTACGAAAAGGAAAAATTAAAACGTTACATCAGACAGCTATGAGGATCTAGAAGTCATTTGCAGTCTTACTGACAAATCTCTTTCTTGAGACTTTGATTTATTCTCAGAACCCATAAAAGCAACAGACTATTTTAAATGGAATCGAAGCACGCGCGCTGCAATTAAAAACAGATCGGACTAAAATCGTTATCTCTTTCTCAGATCAACTCCAAGAAATTTATCCTCTGATATCTTTGGCCCATATGGTCGGTTGTGCTTTGCTAGTTCACTAACTACAGAGATGTTTCAGTAAAGTTTTGTGCAATTGTTGTGTAGTGCAATCCCAAGATATTTGGCTCTTAAACATAGCTGAGGCGTGCTTTGAGGTTTGTAAATTAGAAAAAATTTATAGTTTTGATTGCACGCGTTGATTAAATTACTTGGCCGAAACTTATACTCCTGATAAGAGACTCTAAAAAAGCTGTCTTAAGAGAGTTTATCGCGCATTATCTGCTAAATTAAGAGCAAATTACCGATGAAGCCACAAAGAATTTAAAAGCTGTTGAACGAAATAGAAACTGCCCGAGATCTGATCGTTAATGGATTCCTTTTGAGATCATTGAAAAAAGGTCTAGGGCACGATGTTTCACTCTCGATGAAGTACACTTTGCACTTAGACCAGGTAAATTCAACAGCGGTCCTCGCCTACAAAATATTTATGTTAGATACTAACTGCAGATAAATATGAGAAAAAAAAAACTTCATTAAAAGGTGCGAAAATCAAATTTAGACTTTTTCGACGCAAATTAAACAACTCTTTTGAGAGGTCAACATGATAACACTGCACCGCCACATTTCAACTGGGAAACTGTTTCCCATTGAAACCACACCAAAACCTTGATTTCGTATGTCTACTACCTGATAAATGTTCTGTAACATTCTCAGACAGTTTTTGACTAATATTAATTCCAACCAAGTTCAACGGGTTCATTTTGAGTCGTTTTCACCCCGTCAGCGAATTAATTAATATTTTACAGGTGTTGTTATTTTCCTTCACTCGATAAGCGCATTAATTACATACTAACCCAGCCTGTCATGCCCCCATATATGATGTTAGACTCCCTCTCCCCCCTTCCTCCCTTCGCACTATAAATTTGGTCTGCGTTAGAGAATTACAGCACAAGTAAGTATGCCA